AGGAATGCACACCTCTGACATTTGTGAAAGATCCTTACCCAGTGAGCTTACGCTCTTGTAGTTCTCCAGCATGACTTCCCGGTAGAGAGCTCTTTGGTCCGGATCCAGCAGGGCCCACTCAGCCACGGTGAAATACACGGCCACCCCCTCAAAGGAAAATGGACGCTGAAAGAAAAAGCAGACTGATCAGAGATCAAGCCAGGCAAGACTGCACTCAGGAAACGGGCATCCTGGTGGGGTGGAGGATGGAGAGGTTGGCGGGGGTAAGAGGTGTGGCGTTCAGAGCCTCTCTTGCTCGGACACCTGAGAAGAAACTGCAGGAGCAAAAGCCCCCCTGAGAAAGGAGGGGGAACTCAGGTGGTCCCCTGCTCATCTCCCCTACCTGGACTGCAGGGGCAGCAGCTGTTTCCACTCCTCCACAAAGACGACGACTCAACACTGTCTCTTCGCTGCCTGGGAGGGAGAGAACGTTGGAAGAAAGGGTCCGAGTCTAGACTTCGAATTTTCTTTCCTTGTGCTTGTCCTGCTTCATGCACCCCTCTTCCCAGGGCTGTGAAACGTTGCCCTGTCTACACTCAACAAAATGACTTGAGGGAGAGGTGGAAGGGAAGCTCCAGGTTCCTATGAGCCTCCGGGGGGGGGGGTGTTTAAAAACCCTGCCAACACAATTCAGACTTCTCTGACTCTTGAAATTTATCGTGTGAACTCCAAAGCTCAAAGTGGTGGCAGCATCCCTGCTCGATCAGACCAAAGGCCCAGGCACACCATTCTCCTGCTGGCTGGTACCTCCTACGTGCCTTTGAGTTCAGGCTTGCAGGAGAACGGGGGAGGGGGGAGAAATGAGGTCAAACGATACATCACATTTGCATCTGTCCAAAAACCCAGAGATGACATTAGTACACCTGAGAACTCGAGGGTAACATCAAGCAGTTTCCAGAGTATCGGCTGTTCAGCAGGATGCGACATCACTGTGACATCACATCCACCCCTGGCCCCACCTCCAAAGCTCCCAGGGGTGCCAGGTCAACTTTTCTTTTCTGAGCCACCTTGAGTCCCTCTAATGGAAGGTATGTGAGACAGGAATTCTTTCTTTTTTAGCATTTTTAATATATGTGTGTGTGTGTGTGCGCAATGTGATTTTGTGTATGCACCTAGAAGTCATTGTGACTTGTGTTGACTGACCCCCACAGTGGGCCTGGAGGATACTCAGAGAGGTGGCTGAATAAAGCCTGCCCCCACCTCCTGCCTCCGGTATTGCAAGGAGGTCTCCCATCCAAGTACTTGCCAGAGTTCACCCTGCTTAGCTTCCGAGATCTGACTAGTCTGGGCTACCCAGGTCAGGGCGTGACATAGGAATATTTCAGTTAACATGTAGGAATATTTCAGTTAACATGTAGAATTCACTCTGAAGGAAGTAGTGGCAGCTACAAACCTAAACAGCTTCCAGAGAATTAGATAAACATCTGGAGCAGAGGTCCACAACTGGCTATTAGCCACAAGGTCTAGATGGAACTCTATGTGGAGGGCGGTGATTCCCTGTATTCTCAGTGCTTGTAGGGCAACAGCGGGAGGGGTTTAGGAGCCCTGGCCCTGCTGGTGGACCTCTTGATGGCACCTGGGTTTGGGCCAGTGTGGAGCCCAGAGTCTTGGATCGGATGGGTCACTGGCCTGATCCAACACGGCTGCTCTTATAGTCTCCTGTGTTCCAATGAGAAGGGAATTTCCTTCCATGAATCTGTATAATTCCCCCCTTCAGGTGAGTAGCCACCATTACATCCCATGGCAACTGAGTCTCAGCAGTCCACTCTGTGTAGTGTGCAGAAATATTTCTCTTTTCTCTTGTCCTGAACCTTCTATGCAACAACTTCACAAGGTGCCCACATCTGGGCCCAAGGCACCCTTACCACGTGAGAGGGCATCTTGGGAATGCTCCTGAACCTGTGCCTCCTGCTCTTCCAACAAAGGACACCCTTTCTCCTCCGAGAACTTCACTCCCATCTTGACAGACGGCCCCCACATCTGAAACTGCAGGAAGGGATACAGGTAAGAGGAGGAATGCGAAAGACCAAGGAGACAGATCTTGCCCCTGCCCATCCTCACCCCTGCATCGATCATCAGAGCTGCTCCAACCACAGCGGAAAGAATCAAGGTTGTGGGTTTCTATCAGCTCCGGTGAAGTGTCTGGAGGGACACATATCGGGCAGGGAGGCCTGAGGCTAAGGTCGAAGGTCACAGCTAGAACAGATGCCATGAAGCTCCCTCACCTGCTCTGCCTGCCGCTTGTCCTCTGCCTGACTCAGGAGGAAGCCCTCAGCCAGGGACACCGCCTGGGAACTGGTCATTGCACTCATTTGCAAGAGTGCTAGGGTTTAATCATGTTTTCTTAAAAGTTTTAGAAAATCTTTAATTGTGTTTGTCTGTGTCCTTTTTAAAGTTTATCTCTCCACTACCTGGCATTACATTTTATGACACACATGGCCTAGCACAACCAGGTCTCATTTAGGTCAGATCCAGCCCTCATAACAAATGAGCTTGACACCCCTGCCTTAGACTAAGGTCGAAAGTCACAGCTTGAATGACCCAGCTGAGCTCTGAGCACTAGCAGGAGACAGAGCTGCTAGAGGGGTGAGCGTTTTTTTACTTGCTTTCAGCTGAGGGGATTCAGCTGAGGATATTGTGTGGGAGAACTGGTCTGGGAGTCTGTGAAAGCGCTTAGAGTTGTTGCAGCGTCCTGGCTGCTTGAGAGAGGGAGAGAAAGGGGCATTGTTTGACTGTGATTGACAGTAATTCAGTATTTAAGAAAACACCTTGCCAGAGGCATGAGCCGAAGGGCGAGCTAAAGGGCTCTTTGCCTGTGGCTCTTAGCCTAGGGACTCTTAGACTAGGGGCTCTGTAAGAAGCCAAGAAGAGCCAGAAAGCGAAGGCCCTAGGCTCTTTGTCTTCCCCGTAAAGTAATTTGACTTCAACAAGAAAAACGACATAAATACAAAGGGTTTTAAAAGGGGGATTATATTTACTTATTTTATAAGAATTATGAAGCCAGAATGCCAGCAGGGGGTTGGGGGCTATCCAGTGTTTTGCACGGAGTGTCACATGTATGACTATCTGCCCACTGGACAGAAGTCTTGGGTGTGTGCTCGGTGCAAGGAGCTCCTGGTTCTCAGGGAACGTGTTTGCTCCCTTGAGGCCAAGGTGGCTGACCTGGAGAAGCAGAGACAGTCAGTTAGGTGCACAGAAAAGACTCTCGGGGACTTGTTAGCTACGTCCCACTCTGGATCTGGCAGCCCCGCTGCTGTCAGGGAGCATGAGGGTCTAGGGGAAACAGGGCACCATGCTGAGGATAAGGGGAATGTGCCCTCAGAAGGGACCTCTTCCCCAGCTGGTGAGCGGCTCTCCTTTTGCACCAAGGAACCATCCCTGAGCAGGGTGGGAGGGGGGCTCTTGGTAGTGGGTGATTCGATCCTTAGGCAGGTAGACAGCTGGGTGGCGAACCCGCGTACTGACCGTATGGTGACTTGCCTGCCTGGTGCGAAGGTAGCGGACATTACGCGTGTTTTAGATAGGCTGGTAGATAGTGCTGGGGAGGAGCCAGTGGTCGTGGTGCATGTCGGCACCAACGATGTGGGGAAATGCAGTCGTGAGGTCCTGGAGGAGAAATTTAGGATGCTGGGCAGGAAACTTAGGTCCAGGACCTCCAAGGTAGCCTTCTCAGAAGTGCTACCTGTTCCACGCGCAGGGCCGGAGAGACAGGCACAGATCAGGAGTCTCAATGCGTGGATGAGACGATGGTGTAGAGGGGAAGGGTTCAGGTTTGTTAGGCACTGGGATTCTTTTTGGAACAAGAGGGAGCTGTACAGGCGAGACGGTCTCCACTTGTCCCGAGAAGGAACCAGGCTGCTGGCACTTAAAATCAAAAAGGTGGCAGAGCAGCTTTTAAACTGAATATTGGGGGAAAGCCGACAGGAGATGAAAAGTCTCTGGTTCGGGTTGGCTCATCTGAGAGAGGTGAGGGGGTACCGGTTGCTTTTCTACAGGGAGGTGGATTGAAATTGTCCACAGAGGCCATGGCTGGTGACATGGACTGCCGGACAACGACTCGAGATAGCAAGAGGAAGGATGCAGGCTTAACTTGTAAGGGAAATTACAGCTGTTTCTATACAAATGCTAGAAGTGTCCGAGGTAAAATCGGGGAGTTGGAGTGCTTGGTGAGGGAGGGAAAAATAGACATTGTGGGTATTTCTGAAACTTGGTGGGATGAGGAAAATCAGTGGGACACAGTGATTCCCGGTTATATATTATATCGGAAGGATAGGGGGGGAAGGGTTGGAGGTGGGGTAGCTCTGTATGTCAGAGAGGGTATAAAGTCTAGAAAGATTGAGAGGCTAAGTGAATTGGATTCGCTTCTGGAAGTTCTATGGGTTGAAATAGGGGGGCCAAAAGGAAACTTAACACTGGGAGTTTGTTATCGCCCACCAGATCAAAAGATAGAGGAGGATTATAAAATGATGAATGCCTTAAAGATAGCAACTAGACAAAAACACTGTGTAATAATAGGTGATTTTAACTACCCACACATTGATTGGGTCAATATGTGTTCTAGCCGGGAAAAAGAGATTGAGTTTCTAGACACTCTAAATGACTGTGCTATGGAGCAGATGGTCACGGAACCTACCAGGGGAGAGGCGATCCTTGATTTGGTCCTAAGTAACACTCAAGACCTGGTGAGAGATGTAAAAGTGATTGCACCGCTTGGAAACAGTGATCATAATGTTGTTGAGTTCATCATTTGTACAAATAGAGAATTGGCCAAAAAGACTCACACAACCATTTTTAACTTTAAAAGGGGTAATTTCTCTGATATGAGGGGACACGTGGGGAGGAAACTGAAAGGAAAAGTAGAAAGGGTCAAAACAATTGGGGAAGCTTGGGATCTATTTAAAACTACGATCCTAGAAGCTCAAAAAATATATATTCCGCAGGTTAGGAAAGGCACAAACAGGTATAGGAAAAAGCCTGCATGGTTAACAAACAGAGTAATGGAGGCTGTAAAAAGTAAAAAGAATTCCTTTAAGCAGTGGAAAGCTAGTCACAGTGAGGCTGATAAAACGGAACACAGGCTATGGCAAATAAAATGCAAGTCTGAGGTCAGGCAGGCAAAAAGGGAATATGAGGAGCATATAGCAAAAAACGTAAAAACCAACAATAAAACTTTCTTCAAATACATTAGAAACAGGAAACCAGCCAGGGAGGCAGTGGGGCCCTTGGACGACCAAGGGGTAAAAGGAGTATTGAAGGATGATAGGGAAATGGCTGAGAAGCTAAATGCATTTTTTGCCTCCGTCTTCACTGTGGAAGATGAGAAGTGCTTGCCCACTCCAGAACCACTGATTTCAGGAGGGGTGTTGAAAGACCTGAGTCAGATTGAGGTGACGAGAGAGGAGGTCCTAAAACTGATAGACAACTTAAAAACTGAAAAATCACCAGGCCCAGATGGCATACATCCGAGAGTTCTGAAAGAACTCAAATGTGAACTTGTAGATCTCCTGACAAAGATATGTAATCTTTCCTTAAAATCTGCCTCCATTCCTGAGGATTGGAAGGTAGCTAATGTCACTCCCATCTTTAAAAAGGGTTCCAGAGGAGATCCGGGAAATTACAGGCCAGTCAGTCTGACGTCGATACCGGGTAAATTGGTGGAAACCATTATTAAGGAAAGAATTAGTAGGCACATAGATGATCCATGAGTGGCTATTAGCCACAAGGGGATAGCAGGAACTCTATGTGGGGCAACAGTGCTTGTGGGGCAACAGCAGGAGGGTTTCAGGCGTTCTGGCCCCACTGGTGGACCTCTTGATGGCACCTGGGTTTGGGCCACTGTGTGACAGAGATCCTGGATCAGAGGGGCCATTGGCCTGATCCAACATGGCTGCTCTTATATTCTCCTGTGTTCCCATGAGAAGGGAATTGCCCTTCATGAATCTGTAGAATTCCCCCTTCAGGTGAGTAGCCACCAGTCCACTCTGTGTGGTCTGCAGAAATATTTCTTTTTCCTCCTGTCCTGAACCTTCTAATCAAAAACCTTCACAGTGTGCCCAGATCTCGGCACAAGGCACCCTTACCACGGGAGACGGCATCCTGGGAACGCTCCTGGGCTTGCGCCTTCTGCTCTTCCCCCATCTTCACAGACAGTTCCCGCATCTGAAACTGCAGGAAGGGATACAGGTAAGAGGATGAATGCGAAAGACCAAGGAGACGGATCTTGCCCCTGCCCATCCTCACCCCTATGTCAATTGACAGAGCTGCTCCAACCACAGCGGAAAGAATCAAGGTTGTGGGTTTCTATCAGCCCCGGTGAAGTGTCTGGAGGGACACATATTGGGCAGGGTGGCCTTAGGCTAAGGTCGAAGGTCACAGCTTGAATGGACGGCATGAAGCTCCCTCACCTGCTCTGCCTGCCGCTTGTCCTCTGCCCGACTCAGGAGGAAGCCCTCGGCCAGGGACACCGCCTGGGAACTGGTCTCCGGCCCGCATCCTCTGACCCAGCGCTGCATTTCCTCGGGCAGGACGGCCAGGAACTGTTCCAGGATCACCAGGTCCAGGATCTGCTTCTTGGAGTGCCTCTCCGGCTGCAGCCAGTGCTTGCAAAGTCCGTGGAGCTGGCTGCAAACCTCTCGGGGCCCAGCAGCCTGCTGGTAGCAGAACTGCCGGAAACGCTGGTGATGCTCCTCTGAGATTCCCGTCTCCTGAGGCAGGACTTCTGGCACCGCTCTTTCCCAGAATTCAGCACCACTCCCTGCCTGGATGGGAGGGGGGTCTTTCCTTGCTCTCTTGCCAGTTCCTGGTCCTTCTGGGTCCTGCTCTTCCATCTCCTTCCCCTTTCTATTGGGCAGCCTCCGACTGCAAAAAGATTCATTTATTTACTTGGTATGAAGAGGGAGTGGGGGATATATCAAAAAGGCAGAAAGGAACCTAAAGCAGATGAAGTAACATCACCAACCCAGGAAGACACACCCAGCGTCACCCTACAGAATCGGAAGAAGGGGCCTTGTTGTCGTCTGTGGATCAGGGTTCATGTGATTGTGCTATATTAACTATTGTAAACTGGTATGAACTATTATAGACATCTCCTAAGGAAGCCCTCTGTAGTCTCAAAGCCCTGATGGCATACACTAGAGAGTTCTTAAGGGTATGAGATACTTGATCCACTAATCTATAGATGTAACCGATAATGAAATTCAGCCGCTGTACTACAAGACTGGAGAGTAGCAAACGTTACATCAATTTTTAAGTATGGATCCAGAGGGGAACCAGGAAATTACAGGCCAATCAGCCTCACATCTGTCCCAGGCAGACTAGAATCTTTACTCAAAGACAGAATTGTTAGGCACATTGAAGGGCAAAGCCTGCTGAGGGAAAACCAGCACGGCTTCTGCACAGGGATGTCCTGCCACAACAGAGGGTGGACAAAGAGAAATTTTTCTCCCTCTCCCAAAAAGCTAGAACTGGAGGGCATGCAATGAAGCTGATGGGCAGTAGGTTCAGGACAGACAAAAGGAAGTAGTTCTGTACACAGAGAGTGTTTAAAATGTTGAGTTCACTGCCTGAGGATGCAGTCATGGCCACAGGAATAAACAGCTTTAAAAGGGAACTAGATAGATTCATGGAGGGTAAGTCTAGCTACCAGCCCTGGTGACTGATGGGAACCTCCACACAGGGACGGCTCACCCGCTAGGCAAACTAGGCATTCGCCTACTGCGTGGGCCGGAGCTTAGGGCACCAAACTGGACCCAGCCCCCCCCCGCCAAAGCCCCCCAACCCCTGCCAAAAGCCCTGCATCTCCCAGACCGCTGCCTCCTCTTTCTCCCCGAGTCCGGCAACTGCTGAGCTTGCCGGACTCGGGGAGAAACAGGCAGCTGCGGCAGCAGTCACCTGGTCTACGAGATGCAGGCCTTTGGTGGGGGCGGGTGCAGTTTGGCGCCCTAGGGCCAGCCACTCACTCATCCTTTGCCGTCCCCGTCTTCCTTGACCTTCCATCTTTCCCAGCATCAGGGTCTTCTTCTCCAGTGAGTGCTCCCTTCTCATTGGGTGGCCAAAGTCTTTGAGCGTCAGTTTCATTATCTGGCCTTCCAGGGAACAGTCAGGGTTGATTTCCTTTAGGATTGACTGATTTGATCTTCTTGCAGTCTTACTTACTTACTTACCAATGACTTACTTGCAAGCAAACCTTCCCCGGATCCGGCTGCCGCTCCCGGACCCAGGCGGGCGGACCGGTCTCCAGCCAGGCTGCCTCCAGCGACGCCCTCTGCGGCTCAGTGGGGCTCCTCGGGAGTAATCCTGCCCTGGGCTGCCCTCCCGGAGTCCTCCCCCCCACCCCTGCCTTGTTCCTTGGATCTCTCCTCTCCTGAATCAGGGGAGGGTCCTGAGTCCCGACTCGCTCTGCAGGGACGTACTAAACCTAAGGACAGCGATTGCCCATCGCGAATGCACTTACTTGTACTCTAATGTTTTCTAATGGAGCCCATGCAAGTATTCCTGGCCCCCATTCTTTCCAATGGGTCTTCCAGCGTCTCCCATTGTTTCCAATGGGCAATCCTGTCCTTCCTTTTAGTACATCCCATACACGGGTGCTGCCTGCGCTGGAGGTTGAGCTCTGCGGTATTAGACTCCACTGAGCTCCCCACCCTCCCCAATTGTGCAGGAATTATTTCCCACCGCGGACTGGGAGGACCCTCCGGCTTGACAGCAGCAGCAGCAGCGTCTCTTTTTTATGCAGAGTTAAAACGACCAGCAATTGAACGCCAGATTCATGCATTGAACGTTCTTGGACCTGAAGACGATGATTATCCTCCTTCCCCCCCCCCAAAAAAAAAAACCACCCCCAATTTACAGAGTAGAGAAAAGGGGATGCTGGCAGCCGCCTCCCTCTCTTCTTCCGAGATCGAAGACCTCATTCCTCGCTGCCGCGGCCCCCAGTGACTTACTTGCAAGTAAACCTTCCCCGGATCCGGTTCCAAGGCTTTTCCCGGCTGCTGCACGTCTGAAGCGCTTCCTCTGTTGAGAAACATCTCCTCCCCCCCCCCCGCCGGGCGCTCCAGCGCACCGGCTCCGTCCCTTTA